ATATATTTTTTGAAGTTTAAACTCAAAAACGCCTTCGAAATCTAATTTTCAAAAAATCACCATACGAAGCTTTGTTTGACTTTCATGCAAATTTCCCAGCCTTTCCCGCACACAAAAGGTGTCCCCGCTGTGCCTTTAATTATAGAGCCGTGGTCATGGCAATGGCAAAAAAACCTATCCGGTTTACAAGGTAAATCCGCCCTTTCTGTTTTTGATTGATCCGCCAAGCTTTTCAAAAAAAAAATCTGGGGATTAGTGGGCATGGGAGGAAGAAGGAAAATGTAAAAAAAATTCAAAATTTCAGAATTTTAAAAAATTTTTGATATTGCAAAATATAAACTTATCAAACACAATAACATAAATCAAGTATAGAAGACAAGAAAAATTTTCAAATTTTTAAAAATTTGCATAAAAATTAGTCAAGAGCGCAAGAGTTATAGTTTTGGCCATATGGCCAAATTTAACAAGCGATTCTTTGTGAAATGATTTATGAAACCGCAGCTGGTTGGGATTGCGCGACAATTGTGAAAATCAAGAAATTACTAAAATGCAATCTAATAAAAAATTTTTTAAGTTTAAAAAAACCACTTCCTCGCCTACGCTATCCTGTCCTACTCAGTCCTTCCAAAACCAGCCCTGCTCATTTACGCATTAAGTCATACAAAACCGTATACCACACTATCCTACTTTACCCTAGTTTACCATAACTGATCCTACCCTACTCTACACTATCCTAAGCAGCCCTCCCTGACAAGGCCCTGCGCTTCGCTGTTCTGTTTTTTTCTGGCTTGTCCTGCCTTACCTTGCTCTATCCTACACCATACCCATCCAAGCTTTTCCCTGCTTTGCCTTGCCCTATCCTACTATACACAGCCAAGCTCTTCTCTATTCTGCCTTGCATTATTACCCTATTGTAACATAACTTTATACCTTATTGTCAATCATACGTTACACTTTACCCTATTGTATAACACTCTTGCTTTCTCTAGTCAACCCTGCCTTTAAAAAATAGCCTACCCTCAAAATAAAAAAAACAATTTAAAATTTTACCTAAAGCACTTTTTTTAAATCTATTAATAATTCAAACCCTCCCACTCCCCCCCCCCTTCCCATTCTTTTCCATTTCAACGACGAATCCAGTGGAGCACGGTGGGTTTTCGCTCTTAACTATCATAATCGTAAACCAATATAATTCGGAGATTACAAAAGAAACAAAAAACGGAATGGTTTTCCCCTCATTTGCTCGCTTTTTCCGCTTCCGAGAGTCCAAAAACAGCTAAAAATAAAAGCAAATCATACAATAGTGGTAATGAGTCGGATCGATCGAATAATTAAAGGAAATACGACCAATTGACTTGCAATTTTGTTTTTTATTTTTTACAATTTAGCGTACTGATTAGTCAGATTCAGTCGGCATATAAAGTGAGCAATCTTTTTTACTTTATAAACTGTATAAAATATATTGATATACAATAAAAAAGCCTCAACCTAAGCCTTAGTCTAAGACCGAGCATAAGACCTATCCTAAAACATAGCACTAGTCTCAGACATAGCCTAATCCCTAGCATAACTCATAGCCTAAAACATAACATGAGTTCTACCCGGCGTAAGACCTAGCCATAGCCTAAGCCATAGCCTAAGCCATAGCCTAAGCCATAGCCTAAGCCATAGCCTAAGCCATAGCCTAAGCCATAGCCTAAGCCATAGGCTAAGCCATAGCCTAAGGCATAGCCTAAGCCGTATCCTAAGCCATAGCCTAAGCCATAGCCTAAGCCATAGCCTAAGAGCAGCAGTCTGAGTATTAAACTAAAACATAGCCTACTATGGTCTAAGCTAATAAGCTCTAACCACAGGTTTAGCCTAAGCTATCGTAACTTTAAGTATTGTAAGTTTTTTACTGTAAACCACTAGTCATCTAATACAACAACAGAATTAAAAAACAATTTTAAAAAATTTAAATTTAAAAAACAAAAAAAAATTAAAATTTCAAAAACAGCCAAACTTCAAAACCAAACCCTCCGGAAACCCCAAAAACATTGCAAAAAGCGCGTCGAAACGACGTTAAAACGCGAGTTTTGATCGATCAAATAGCCAGTGGGCATTTTTTGATTGCCAAATGGCCCCACAAGCATGTGGCGGGTCAATCGACAGACGTCACCTGTGCCTTTGGAATTTGCGGAGTGGTGGCTTTGTCCACTCCCGGCTGGCCCATCTACCCCCCCCTTCTTTTCCGTTTGCTCCTCATTAACAAACAAAAGTTGCGTGCGTGGTCATTTTTGCGGAAAATAAGAATAAAAAATAGAAACAAAGATTCTTGCACTCTTGGCCGCGACGCTTTGAACTGGTTTCAAATCGAAATTTCGAAAAAAAATATTTTGATGTTACTAAAAAATTGAAAATTTTGGAAAACGTATACAATAGGAGTGCATTGAAAAGAGTAAGATTTAACACACGTTAATCTTAGAATAAGCACGGCAATGCTCGCTAAAACACGGTAGAGCAAGACAACTAATAGTAGTAGAAGGTAAGGTATATTAAAGTAGAATGAAGTAGAGTAAAGTAAAGTAGTGTAAGTGTGAATGAGGCGGGTAGGGTATAATAGAGGAAGATAGAGTAAGGCACGATACGGTGGTATGAGGTAGAGTAGTGTAAGGTAGAATAAAATAAAGTAGGGTAAAGTACAGTAGGATATAGTACGGCAGGGTAGCGCAGGGTAATGCTGGGTAGTTTAGAGTAGGATACGATAGGTTAAGGTAGAGCATAGTAGAATCAGGTAGAGTAGGGCATAGCACATTTTTTACTCTACTTACTGTAAGGTAGGTAGAGTAAAAAAAGAGATCAATACCCCCCCCCCGATTCTCCTTAAATACGTCATAATCATCTCCCTTTTCCCTTCCAACCCCGCTTATAATAAAATCCGCAATCACCCCTCCCAACACTACCTATAATAATTTCAAAAAACTTCAAAATTTTGTACAAGCATAAACTTAATAAAATTTGCAGACAAATCTTTGCAAGGTCACTCCACTTCCGCCAACTCACGGAACGCCCAAACAACATTCACTCACTTATTAGCGCAAAAAACTCGAAAATGAGTAAAAAGTAAATAAGAATTCCGGATTCTGCGTGATTCTAATTTAGTAAAGTTCAGTAAACTTTATTAGATTGTACAGTTTTAAAAAAATAATAAAATAGAATAGAATAGGGGTTTTAAAAATATTTACAAAAACCACTATGAGCCCAAGAATAGAATACAGTATTAAAAAGTAAAATAGAGTAGTTTTTCATAGAATACCGCAAAGTATTAGGCAAGAAAAAAAAAGTAAGACAAAGTAAAGTAGAGTAGGATAGGGTAGAGTAGAGTAGGATAAAAGAGGATGCAGTAGGGCACTAATATAGGGTAAATCAGGACAGAGTAGGATAGAATATGGTAGAGTATACTGCCCGCAGAAATTATTGACCACCCCACTAACGTAGCAATGAGTAAACCGATAGGGTAGGATAAGTTACCTTACTGTAGAGTCTAGTAAAATACGATAATTCAAGTTTCAGTAGAGTAGTTTAGTGTAGTGTAGAATAGAGTACAGCACTGTCTGGTCAGGTACAGCAGAACAGGCCAGAGTAAGGTATGATAGGGCACAGTAGTCTGTTAAGGAACAGTAAGACAAGTTCTGATAGGGTAGATTAAACATGGTAAAGTAGAATCTGGTAACATATGATAAAAGTTAGTAAGTTACAGTAGACCAAGAAAAAAACCGACAAAACGTTAATTACTACCGTCCCCGTCCGCTCTTCTCTCCTGTCGACAAAAACAACCCGCACAGAAAAGCACAGTGCCACCCTTTTTTCAAAAATTATTTTACTACCAAGACTATTATAACCTCTTTACACTACTCAAAATATTTTTAAAAAATCAAAGTCATCGCCCTTACAAATCAATTTTTAACCACCAAACCTATACCTTTATGATCTTTTCACCCCTTCCCCATCCTATAAATCTCCCGCCCTCTTGACCTTAATAAAGGCAACATCTGGCCACAGTAGACAGATTAATTTTCTTTAAATTTCGACAAAAAGCTAAAGGAATTCATGATCAACAGCTGATCTCATCCATTGTCTTCTATGATATTTTGTTGAGATTTATCTTTGTTTCTTTGTCGTATCTTTGATTTTTAAGGCTTTTCCTTTCGTTTATTCTCTGCCATTTTTCAATTGTCTCTCTACGTTCCACACTATTTTCGACTACTTTTCGTATTTGTTTTAAAGTTTTTTCGAAAAATACGTGAATTCCAGAAATGTGTCAAAAGTGCCGCCGGCCAAATGGTCGAAGAATGTCGCTAGACTTGAAGAATGGACTCGGCGTTTGATGCTTGATCAATGAGTTTGAGCCATTATTTGCACACACAACACAAGCCAGAAATTATTTTAAAAGAATTTTTGAAATTTCAAAAAGTGTATGATTAGGTACGATAGGTCTATTAGCGTGGTATTGCTAAAGGCGAATTGAAGTGAAAACAAAGAAACTCAACGTAAGACAAGTGCAAAGACAACGCACATCAAAGCATGACAAGGCAAAGCAGCAAGTCAATGCACGTGAGGCAAGGGAAGGGCAGGATAGCCAGCGCAGGGAAAGGCAAGTAATGCTAGGCTAGCGCGAGTCAAGGCACGGCAAGACAAAGCATGGCAGGTCAAGGTAACGCAAGAGAAGGAAACACTAAGCAAGATAAGGCAAAGCAGTGAAATATAACATCATGCATAATAATAAATTTATAAAAACTCATGCATAAATGAATTAATAACCACATAACTGTCACTGTAACGATATTTTGTTAAAAATGCAATAATTATTGCAAATAATCGCATAAAAACACCATTTACATCCAAAAATACTAATAATAGTCAACCGTTCCTTATAATTTTATGAGTTTTTTATGTTCCTTTTACTGTATTTAAGCTGGTGATTATGTAGTAATAAATATACTAAACGTAAATCTTATATAATGAAGGTTGCGCTAGTTTTGTGCTTGGTCATTGGCAGTGTGGTAAGTTTTATGTACAGGTCATAACCCTAACATAGCATATCGTACCATACCCCATCCTAACATAACCTACCCCATAATATTATACCATATCCTACCGTACCCTGTCGTCCCCAACCCTATCCTACTATACCATATCAAACCATACCCTAACATTTTGTACCCCACCCTACATTAGATTACCGGGCATTATCCCACTATCCTACTTTAACCCACCATACACTAGTGTACAAAATTTTTAATTAAAACCAATTTTTAGTGTGCCGGTGACGATGACGACCTTCGTGATGCCATTTTCAAAATATTGGGTGACAATCGTGTTAATATCACAAAACAACAAGTCCATTCCGAACTTTTGCTCTACAAAAGCGATGCAAGTTTTCAATTTCTATTATCTCTGTGTCAAAAGCCCTGCTACCAAATTAAACCATCGTTTTTCCCTCAATTTGCAGTTTTAGGCAATTGAAATCGCGGAAAAGCTGAAAGTCTACGACAATGTTACCAACCTTGTTAGTGACGCCAACGATTTGCTCGTGAAAGGTGCTGTCAAATTGCCATCGGCCGTTCTCAAGCTGAGACAAGTACGCTGCCTGTTGGCCAAGGCCGATGATTCAAGCTTGCGCTCGCTAGACTTTACAACTGATCTTTTGCACATTGCAGAAGTCAAGGTAGGGCTTATTTTAGAGTTTTGTTCTTTAAAAATGCCAAAAATTTCAAAAAATCCACGCCAAAGTTTAATTTCCAAAAAAAAATGTTTGATTCCCTCCATAACACGAAAAACCACAAACATCAGCCCATCTGAAATAAACGCCCTGCCCTACATCCCGCCCACAGCCATTTTAAATAACAAAATGTTTCACCATTGCCAAGCTAGTATAATATCCTACCTTTCCCTTTAGGCCGAAGACAGACTAGCCGAAGTTGCCGCCCTGGACAGTGTCAACAAAGCCGCCGGCCTAAACCTGACAAAAACTCAAATCGAAGACTATTTGATAAACTTGGTCTTAGAATCTTATCAAGCCAAAATGGTAGTAAGCAGCAAACTTAACCCTCACAGTTTGTTGAATGAAACCTATGTCAGCCTTAGCAATATCGACCTCAAACATCCGCTGAGCTCGAGCCTCCGAGTGTACATTGACTCTCTCGACAGACTCGACAACTTCATTCACGGCGTTAGAAAAAATCAAGTTGGACGCAGCGTTTTAACCGACCTTCTTAATTTATTGAAAAGAGCCAAGGCTAAACATGATGATGATCTATTGGACGGTGTGAGTGGCAAAGCTTTGGAAATTTACGAACGTTTGGTCGATGATTTGAAAGACTTGAAGCCTCTTCTTCGCGCATAATTTTTATGCCGTATATTTTTAAATTCATTGACATATTGTAGCAAAAAATTAAATTTTTATTGTTTATGCGCATGTTATAGTAGATCCTTGAAATTCACTCCACAAAAAGACAGAAAATAGACAAAAGAGTACCTACTACGTCTTAGCTAAACCATAAAACCTGTGAGACCAAGTTATTTTATCAAACACGCTAATAAAAGCCAGTAGTAAAGGCCAATTTTCCATGAGGCTAATATTTGATGGCATGTATAACATCATATCCTATTAAGTATTTTTTTAAATTTAAACAATCTTTCTGTTTTCAAAACATTATCACGACCATAGCAAAATTACTGAGCCTAAAAAGCTTTTTATTAAACACAAAAAAATAACGTTTGATCCGATATTATCCATGACATCAAATTTTTACCTCAATAATAATATAAACCAACGATTACCTCTACAAACCTAAAAATCAAACAAAAACAAAACTAAATGACTTACAGTAAATTATTTGGAATATCTGGTTGATTCTTCAGCTTGTCCTTCAGTTGAAACTTCAGTTCCATCTTCATCTTGACCAGAAACTCTTCCAGCGAGTTTCTCTTCCTGATGTTGCTTCCAGTTGCTTATCTGTGTCTTCAAATTTAAGAGCGAATTGGAGGCAGTATTACCTAAAAAATAAAAATTTTAGGCTAAGAATAATATTTGTTACCTAAAATAAACCTTTTTATCTAGAACAACAAGAACAAAACGACGGTAAAAAATAGCTAAAATAACCTACCTGGTTCTTTATGATCTTCAAAATACTAGTTTGAGCCTTTTTCATACTTCATTGTACCAAAAATGTTAGCGTGAAGGAACAATTGTCACAAACAAATTTATTTTTTCAAAAACGGGCGCGACCTGAACATTTTGCAGCGGAAACTGCGGGTCTGCGGCTTTGAAGATGGATATCTCAAGGTAAATAATTAGTTTGAAAAACAAATATTTACCATGTGAATCTAAATTTTTCTGCTCTTTTCAAATGATATACATCTTAACATTAAATATATGTTAAGATGTATATCATTTGAAAGAGCAAATTTTGGGTTTAGAATGTATCTACCTTTATTTTCAGTGGCAGTTTTTGGAAAAGAAGGATACTTCGAAGTATGATGTCGACAACATTTCTTGATTGCTCAATTGTCACAAGAAAGTAAGTTGTGTTAGTTTAATTTTTCTTAATTTTAGGCCTTCCTTATCTTAGGCATCAATTTTTGTTTAAAACCAAGCTTTATTTCAATGCCAATTACAATGTAAGCTGCAAAAATAATGTTTTATCTTCATTTACGGAGTAAATGCTTCAAATCCTTCAGGTTCTCCACCAAACTCTCATAAATTTCCAACGCGCGGCCACTCAAACCATCCAGAATATGATCGTCTTGAGTCTTCTTAGCTTCCTGCAACATACGAATATACTTTAGCAGTACCAAATCGCCAAGGTCGTTCGAACATTATTCGAACGACCATGGACAAAATCGTACAGTTTTTCGAGAGAGTAGATGTAGTTACGAAGGCCGGTGCTTAATGGATGAACAACATCAATTCCGAAGAGCAATTGAATGGATTGTTCAAGAGGGACACGTGGGTTGAGTTGGGAATAGGAAAAGGATTCTAAGACACTGTTAACGAGGTAGTAGTTGACTTGGTCGGCGGTAATTTCGCGTCCGGTGGCTGCTACGACGGCTTGGATTCGGCTGATGGCGTCTTTTTTGTATACGTCCTAAAATTTCATGTTTTTAGGTATCTAGTTACCCTACCGTCCTTACCTTCCTATGCTTACTTACCCTACCGTCCTCACCTTCCTATGCCCTATATTACCCTACCCTTCTGTACTTTTTCCCGCTTTACCCAACTTACCTGAAGCAATGCCTTCAAAACACTGGTGGTATAATCAACAAAGAACAAATCTTGATTAGAAGAAGCGTTGGCCAAACGGGCACGGATGCCTTCAAACGCTTCGTACACCTTCAGAAGTTGTTCACCGTACCTTTGTTTTGGATCTTTGGCTGGAACTGCCATCAATAACTTTTCAGCATCTTCTTTCTGTTTCTCCACTTCGTCGTAGATTTTGTGGATGCTTGAGAGGTTTACAACCTGAATGTTTTAGGTAAGACATTTTGATGATTTTGAATTTCGAAAAAATTTGGAAGATTTGACATTTTGTGTTTTTTTGCTTTTGATGGATGAATATTCAAAAATTTTTGAATTTAAAAAGTTGATAAAGTTTAAAATTGTAAAACGTGGGTTTAAATTGAACCTTACGTCAAGTCTGTACTGGAGCAAACTTGAATGAGCCACGAATTGAGAAAGATTGACTGGGACTGGCTTTAAAAGTTCGATCAGTATGTCACAAATCTTTTCTTCGTCACCAGCATGGACCTAAAAATGTATTCTTTAGGCTTGAGAACTAATTCTGATAGGGGCTACATTAGGCAAAGGGCTGGATAATGGAAGTGATTCACTAGGCAAAGGCCTGACCGATGGAAGCAAGACAGGCCGACAAGTTTAGGCCCGAGTAGACATGAGAAACGGGCCGGGGGTGAACTTTGGGCCCGGCCCGATCAAAATTTGGCTCAAGGCCGGGCCGACTTGGATTGTTTCTCGCCCGAGGGTCTTAACCAACTCTGAACTGAGCCAAAACAAAGGCCCAGCTCCTTTACTGGTATATTGAAAACGGACAGCCGTAAAGTTACAGTGTTTCAGCTTTGAACGCCTACCTGAGCCACAAATAACGCAAAAACAGCCAAATACAACTTCATAGTTGTAACAACAAATATGATGATACTAAAAGCGAAAAACGGCTTTTATATAGGATTTAAAAATCACATTAAGCAGTATTAAGTAGCAATATTTGTATTTTTTTGCTACCTTATTATCAATTTTGTTTCATTTTTTAAATTTAAATTTTTAATTGCTTTACCTTAATAAACGTTTTATAACGCCTTTGAAATGTTTCATATGAGAGGGTTATTAATTTTTTTAAATTGGGAACTTACGTAATAGAACTAAAGAACCATCAATTTTTTATTGTGCCTTACCTCTTACCCTATTCTACTCTACCCAACCCTACCTTCCTTACTCTATTTTACACTACCCTATCCTACCTTATTTTGTTCTACCCTACCTTACCCTACCTTACTTTACCCTACCTTATCCTATTCTACCCGACCCTACAATACGCTAACCTACCTTATCCTACGCTACCTTTTCTTATACTACTCTATCAGTCTCTATCATATCCTACTTTACCCTGCGTGAACTTACCGTACCAAAGCCTATCATACCTTACCGTATCATATCCTGCCGTACTCTGTATAAAATTTTTCTATAACAAAAACTCTGTATAATGAGTAACTTTTAAGTATATCACTACACAAAACACCCCTATAACGGAACTCGTTTGTAACAAACAGTGTTAAAAAACCGATATGTAATACAGAAGTCCTGCTGTATAATATTTTTAGTCATATTTCAATTTGAAATTTTTTAAATTATTAATTTATTTTGACAAAAACAAATTTATTGTACTGAAATTAGTACAAAACTCAATCTTTATTAAGTAATTTCTTCAATTTCTTCAAGTTCTCCACTAAGTCTTCATAAATATCCAAAGCTTTGCCATTCAAGCCGTCCAAAATCCGCACAGGTTGATTTTTCTTAACCTTCTCTAAAAGTCGAATATACTGCGCCAGCAGGTCTTTACCATAACCTCGTGGGTTTATGTAGATCATCTTGTAAAGTTCTTGCAATTCGTTTATGTAGTTTCTAAGAGCAGTACTCATGGAATGATTTGGATTGATTTTGCCACCTTGAATCATGCTTTGCTTTAAATGTAGCCTTGGGTTTAAGCCTGAATTGTTGGTAGGCTTCGAAGATCATGTTGACCAAGCAGATTGGTAGTCTTTTTGGATCAAAGTTTATTCCAGCTGCTCTTATGCCGGCGGCAACGTTGCTTATGGTCTTTAGTTTTATGGGGACTGAAATTATTAATTGTTTAATTTGAAAACTATTAGGTTTGAAAGGTAGCACGTTAAACATGGCCTGGTCCGGGTTATGCCAAAGCGACTTTGATAAAAGTCGGGTCGGGTAGGTACACTTGGACCCAAGGACTGGCGCCCAAGGCCGCCTGAATCAAGGCTTTTGAAAAGTACGGCTAGTCCTCGACCTACATGCTAGGCCTAAATTGGGCTTGGTCATGTTTTTTTACATATTAACATGTTTTACAGGTCTTACTTATGACCAGTACCTGCACTACTTGGTCTACCGGCAAGCCCTAAAATGTCTACCCGCAAGCCTAAAATATGGTCCTGGTTTGGCTCTTTCGCGGCCTACCGCCAGGCTAAAAATGTTGGCCCGGTTTGGCTTTTTAAATGTCTTATAGGTCTAACTTACATCATAAAGAATACCAATTATATCGACAACATAATCGATAAAATGCATCCCAGTTTCGGACGCTTTTTGATGCAAACGATCAGAAATAGTACGGTAAATTTTGGAAGCCTTTTTGAGCTGTTCTTGTGTAATCTTAAATCCGTCTGTACTGATAGTTAATAAGGCTGCTTCGGCTTTATCATTCATAAGATCGATTGCATTGTACATTCCATATTTTGAGGATACGTTTACTAGCTAAAATATTGCTATTTTTGAGTTGTTTTTGGAACTATTATACTGTTTTATCATAGTACTATGTTGATGTAGAGTCAAAGAACTTTCGTACTGCAAGATCATACTATTATTAAGTTTAAATACTTCTTACGCTTAGTTTGTATTTTAATATCAATTTGTGTGCAAGTGACCGAGTGATGTTGACTTCAAGTGGGTTTAAAAGTGCTACGAGCTTCTCACTAAGTTGATCTTCATTTGAGTTCTTCGCTGTGGCCTAAAAAGATTTATATTCAAAACTGTTTTTAATAAACTGACGAAATGTATATTATGATACTCACATATAGTATTGAACACTTATATGTATTTGAGTTCTAGCACTTACAAAACTATAACTATTATATCATCAATACTTACACATGAAAAGCATAAAACAAAAGCAAGAACGAAGTAAAACTTCATTGTTGTAAGAAGGCAGTGACAGTAATATTAAGTCATCAAAAAAAATTTTTTTAATTATTTTAAGCGCAAAAAATAAAAATAATTAGTTTTTAAATCGATTTACAAGTTTCACACAGCAATAAGTTAAAACAATAAAATTTTGGCAATAAAAAAAATAATTATGCAAAAACTGAAAGCTTAAAAAATGCTCGTTAAAACAAAATTTAGAAGAAACTTACTGCTCATTTAGTAACTAAAGCTCGTTTTTTTGAGCTTATTGATTTAGTTTCCCGGTCATTTTTATGTTCTTTTGTCTTATATAGATAACTTACCAAAAGCCAAGGAATGCATATTGCAATTGTCTAGTAAGAGACGAAGTTAAATTGATTAAAAATTCTTGATGATCCACCCCTACCCCTATTTGCTCTCTAACTCTGCGACTTGATACTTTTGATAAGCCTTCCTTACCCTAGTAACCTGTCTAGCGCCGTGCCTTGACACCCTTGATGCTCTTCCCCCCCCAATCTTATTTATCTCCCTAGTGCCGTGGATATCAGTACAATATAGCCAACAACAATACAACATAAAATTTATTTGTCAAGTCAAAATATAAACCTGGACGTAGGTAATGAAACTAGGACCGGTAAGTGTAAATGGTACAATCAACGTCAGCAGATTCGAGAAAACATACAGTTGATCATGAACGCTTCCCCGTTACCTTGCTTTCTTCACATCTAGAGTAAGAGAGTTTGTGGAGGGTTGATCTTCCGTTGCCTGCGTTTTATTTTTCTTCACCGTAACTTTTCTGACACTTCGCTTTTTCTCTTCTTTGTATTTGACAACCTCCTTTATTGCTATCAAGCTACAAAAGCTTGTCACACAGAGGGTTATGCCTATCACCGCCAAGAATACCACGACGTCAAAATACGTGCTAAAACCACAATTATTTTTGATTTTTTATTGTTGTTCAAAAAATAATGAGCTACGACACAAATCAAATTTTTAAAAAACAAAAAAAACTAACGTATTTTAGCTTTAAAAAGTTTAGCCAAAACCCTAGCCTCCTAATATTAATATATTTTTTGAAATTGAAAGTTGAAAAAAAAATTTAAATTAGAAATAAAAATTTTTAATTAATTTTTAAAAATTTAAAAATAAGGATAAAATCACCAACTTACACCATGTTAAGTCTTTTCAAGTAGTTCGTTTCAGCGAAGAGAAAAAGCTCTCTTGTTTCGTTGCTCCCGGTAGTAGCATTCGGAGGAACCCTAAAAATTAGGGACATTAGCAATGCACTAAAGCTAACGCGATATCTAGGATAATATGGCCAGTTTGGGATTGATGGAGGAGCTAGAAAAAGGCTAGTGTAAATCTAGGTTAAAACTAAGATAGAGCTAAACTAGGACTTTGGTATGACTATCGTACAAGGTAAGTGCTCTAGCAAAAACGCTGGTCAAAGTTGCAGCCAAAACTGTAATCAAAATGGTAGCCAAAAACCAAGCCAAAACTCTAGCCAAAACCTAGCCGAAACTCTAGCCAAAACCTAGTGAAAACTCTAGCCAAAACTGTAGCCTAAACCGTAGCCAAAACCCTAGCCAAAACAGTAGCTAAAGACCTTGCCATAACTGTAAGCAAAACCTTACCAAACCTTTTGAAACCTTCTGATGTTATCCCTTTAGACAATGTAAAAAAGCATTTCAAATACTACATAATCCTTGCCAAGACAATTCTACACAAAGCTAAACTTACCATGTCCGAGGTAAAAAAATTGATGTAGTGGTGTTGGTGACCACCGTCGTGGTAGTAGTTGCTTTGGGCGCTTTCCTAAAATTATCAACCTTTACATGTTAAAGCTTATCATCCATTATTTCAACTACAGATAATACTATTAGGTTGTTCAAATAATTCTGTGAAAACTTACGCATAATACAGCATGGCAAAGTCAGTTGCATTTCCATCAATACGTTCAAATCTGACATTTTTAATGACCCTCCATTGTGCCTAAAATACATATTTTTATAACAAAATCAAAGTTGGAGCCATTGACAGAACGCTAGCCCAGAGCCCTAGTTCTTAGCATTAGCCCTAACCCAGAACCCTAGCCCTAAACCCTAACCATAGTAAAAGTCCCACCCTCATTCCAAGCACCAACGCTGCCTCAACATTAGCCGCAGCCTTGGCTGCAGCTTCAATTCCAGATTCTGCCTCAACTGCAAACTCAGCCCTACTAACCCCAATTCCAAAATTAGTCCTAGCCCTAATACTGTCCGCTATGCTGATGTATAAAGGCTAAGCAAGACCTTCTGCGATGAAAAAAACGCTCATACAAAAGAAATACAAATGCCATAAGTCTCAATGGTATTTGACTTTTACATATATTAAACTACCCTACCATTGGCAGAAGCAGCTTTTCCGGATTCGGACAATCATAAGCCACCAAGTTGTGTTCGGTGACATTCGAGACTTCAACAGGTTTCAAAGTCTTGCAGGTTTTATTAGGAAACCACAAGTCTCCATTTTCAATCGTTCCCATAACATTTTGCGTCGATATGTTGAATAAACCATCATTGACAGCTTCGTATTTATATTTTCCGTCTGGCTGATTTATGTCATGTACTTCAGATACATTTGGACCTTGAAACAAAAGGTAGTCTCCAACCATGCGAACTTCTTCTTCCATTTGTCTGGTCGTACCAAGGGTTAAGATCTGTTTGGGCTGGTACAACTTGAACAATGGGTACCTAAAAGTTTGGACATATTACTTATGTATTAAGTTGTTCGAAAAACAATGAACTATTACACATATTTCAGTAGATCATTATTTTTTGAACAACCAACTACTTAAAAGATCACGAATGTTACTAAAGTTTTAATCGAGTTTTGCCAAACTATAAACAGAAAACTTAAACTTACTTCTCTTCATCATTTCTGCCGTAGACAAACAAACTGTCAATGTTTTTGGGTGTAAACAAGTAGTCAGAAGGCTCGAACGTGCTGTATACGTCCAGCCTGTATTCACTAAAATTTAAAACTAAAGTTAATAGTATACCGGGCTAAGCCTACTTTCAGGCTAAACTAGAATAGAAGAAAAACCCTCCCAGCCGCTTACTTCTAGTCTAAACTAAGCATGAAAAGAAAGCCATTTGGCTGTCTGTTTCCAGTCTAAACTAGTAAAAAGCAAACCAGACTCAGTTTTTAGGCCAGACCCATTCCTGACCTCACTTTAAATTTCCGGCCCATGGCCGGAGTCCAACGTTTAGGTCCTGGCCCGTTTTAGTTTTTTCTCAGGTTTTCCAGGCACGGCCTGGTTGAAAACATTCTAGGCCCAGCTTGATCTGGCATTAAACATTTTTTTTGTATCCAAGCCTAGTTTTTAAGTCCGGACCACAAGCCGGTTCGAACTTTTAGACTCGTTCTGTTTTAACTTTCGCTTTAGGCCCAGCCCGAGCAAAAGGCCGGAACTTTTAAGCTCAACTCGTTTCAGCTGCAATAAGATCGGCCTAAAACTATACAGCCCAATTCTTACCCCTAAGGCCAATCTCAAATTTTTTCAAAAAAAATTAAAAACTATTTACCCCTCCTCCATGCCCCAACTTCTACACCTAAAAACAGTAATCCTTACTTCTGAGTTGTTCCATTCGAATTGTGTGGGCAAACTGTAGCTATACGACGAGTGATGGTTGAGTTGGCATCATTATAGTCAAAACCAATGAAGTAAGCGCAGACCACTTGGCCTGGTCTTTCTGGCAGCAGGTTAGACTTGGTAAGCCTCTTCAGAAGATCGGCATTGTATTGCATGGCAAAGACGAGCGACCGGTTAGCAATTGACAGCAAACAAAAGTTATAAAATGAATGAGTAAAAAGCTGACTTTTATTTTTAGTTTAGGCATAATAAGATTTTTTTGGCTTTTTTTCACTTGTACCGCTCAGTCCCTACTGAAAGTTTTTGTGTATGCTTTTGTAGCACTATCCGTTATAGGTGAGAAAATTACCATGCAAACACGGACCTACCTTATTGTAGAACCAAACCGTCCTTGAGCTAAAGTCAAAACAAGTCGGTCATAAGTTTGACCCGGTCCACGAGTCAAGCTTAAAAAGTAGACCCGGACCTAAGTCAATTATTATTAGGACTATAAGTATAAACCTACGTAATTTTGCGATGTATGAGTGATAGACAGGTCGAGACCACTTTCAATTTAATCCAAGCTCAAAGCCCAACTTTTGGGCTAGCTGCAATTTTATTTGTCTTCAGGCCGACTCAGCCCGATCAAAAATTTTTTTCTACCAGCTCAAGATGGTCAAAAAATAAATAATGTTTGGTCTTACTTTTAATGTTTAGCCGGCGAGGGTATTTCAACTTTTCGACCCGGCGTGTTTCAGTTTTAGCTTAAGACACCTCCCTGTTTCTTGATCATACGGTTTCTTACTTTTATATCAATCTGGAATCGAAAATTCAAAGCTGCGGTGTATCAAAGTCGATTGAAAAATCAATTATGGAAAGGCTTTTTTGCTATATAAAAGTTCTTTTGTATGCTGGTTTGCTTTGCACAGAAGTAATACAGTGGAACTCTTGTATAAGAAACCCCTATATAACGAAAATCCCTTATAACAAACAACTTTTGAAACCCGTCTATCACTGCACAGTGCATTTAAAACTCCTCTATAACGAAACTCCTTTATAACGAACAAATTTCAAGTCTTCGAGCTATTCGTTATACAGGAGTTCCACTGTATAATACTCACTTAGTTTACAAAGTTATATAGATAAAACAAACTATTATATAAATCAAAGTGTAAATATTGAAATTAATTATTTATTGTAACATAAAAGTAATATAAATAGGCGTTTATTTTTTGCGCAACAAAGGCTTCAAGTCCTTCAGGTTTTCAACCAAACTTTCGTAGATCTCCAAAGCTCTTGGATTCAAATCATCCAACAGATGTCTAGTTTGAGCTTCTTTAGCGTCATTCAAAAGAACAAGGTATTTTCCCAAAACATCTCTTCCCCAATGAGCACCTCGAAGATAAGGGAGGTAAATGTGCACCAACAACTCGATTAGTTCATCGCTATAGCGACGAAGAGGGGTGCTGAGAGGATGAGCCAAGTCGATTTGGGTGCCCAAGTTCTGAACTGATCGCAGCAAACTACTTGGATTGACTTTACTGTTTTCCATGCTTTCTTGGTAGGCTTCCAAAACTATGTTGATCAAGTAGTCGCGGACTACTTCTTTATCAATGTTCATTTCGGCGGCCTTGAATACAGCTGCCACTTTGTCCGTAGTGGTGAATGTTTCCTCGGACTAAAATTTTGTTTAGAAAAGAAGCCTTAGCTCAAAGCCCTAAACATTTTTAGGCTTGGCTTGACATAAATTGACGTCAAAAACGGCCCAGCCCGTTTTCCATCTCTACAGAAACTTAGCTCATATCCCTAGTCTAGAGCCTTAGCGTAGAGTTATAATCCAAAGTCCTAGCCTAGAGCTCTAGCTCAGAGCCCTAGCCCATAGCCCTAGTTTAGAGCCCTAATCCAGAGCCTTAGGCTAGAACCTTAGCCCAAAGTCCTAGGTCAAAGCGTTAGTTCAGAGCCTTAGCCCAGAGTCCTAGCTTAGTGCTTTAGCTCAAAGCTCTAGCTCATAGTCCTAGCTAGCCCACCCCTGAGTACGACAACCAAAAACTTACATAAAGGACTCCAATAGTGTCAACAGAAAAGTCGATCTGCAGCATATTCATATCGTTTTTCGGCACTTTAAGACTTAAACAGTCCGAAATAGCACGGTAGGCGGCGGCGGCTTTACGCATTGGAGGAACTATGTTCATACCTTTGCCAGGAGCTGGCACTTTAACAAGCAAATCCTCAGCTTCTTCCATCATCTTATTAACTTCATCGTAGTTGTCGTAGACGCTTGATAGGTTAACAATCTAAAAAGTTTGTTTTATATGTTATATTATAAGGTTAAGAAGACTGTGAAGTGTTTGAACAACCTAATGTTTCTTTTGTTTTTCAATATTATATAAACTGTATAGCCCAGAAAGCATGGCTATGTCCAAAATTTTTAGCTCTTAATGGTAGATTAACAACTACATTTAAATCCTCACCGCTTGACGGTAGTTCAATACAAATCCATGAGTAAGATATTTTGTAATGTTGATGTTGTCAGCTTTCAACAGTTCGAAAATCTTATCAAGAACTTTTTCATCGGACGCACTTGCACTAGCCTAAAAAATTAATATTAGCTTCAGCTCTATCCTTAACCCTAGCTTCTAGAGTACTGATCTACAGCAATTCTTATCAGTTGTACTAGTAATTTGCTAACTAAACATTTCCTCACTTCCTGAGCCAGAACCTAGCCTTATAGACTTACATACTGAACACAGAAGACAAGAGCAACAACCAAGACCAACTTCATGGTTTTAACAACACAAAATACTGTTAGACTTTTACTGTTGTGCTTTATACTGTCGTTAACGTAATAAAATTTGCATAAGAATTAAAATTGGAGAAGAACGTTCGATTTCACACTGCCATTGTCTGCTATTGTAATTAGTTTACAATTGTAAATTAGTTAGTAAAAGTCTATATTTTAATTTGATTAGCTAAAAATGTAAATGCTAGTTACAGAACACCTTTTAATTAATGTGAAAATACGTTTTTAAATAATTAATTAATAAAAAAGACTTAACCAAGGCTTGTGGACCAAACAGAAAAAAAATGGATTCCGTGTTGGCTGGGACTTTGGATGGGGCTTTGGCTTGAGTTTTAGCTGAGGCTTTGACTACAATTTCGACTAGAATTTCGGCTAAAGCTTTGGCTTTGACTACAGTTTTGGCTAAGGTTTTGCTAAATTTTGGCTAGAATTTTAGTTGGAGCTTTGGCTAAAATTATGGCTAGGATTTTAGCTAGAAATTTGGTTGAGGGTTTGACTACAGTTTCGACTAGGAGTTTGACTAAAGCTTTGGCTAGGGCTTTAACTACCGCTAGCTAGGGTTTTGGCTACGCTTTTGGCTAGCAATGACACTACCTAACCTTCCATACTCAGAATTAACTCAAAATTTTTATACAATTTATTTGTGGTTCTAACTGCTAATAGTACACATAAAAACATTTAGTTTACGCTTTTAAGTTTTAAAATTTAACTGAATGAATTTCCTGCTAATTTGGAAAACTTGGCATTGTGTTTCAAGCGCTTTTTTCTACTTTCCAGACAAGCTACGCTTACAAATTTAAAAATGTAGGTTCATTTAAAGGTATTCTACTAGTATATCAAAATAAGATTTCTGAAAATCAAAAAATGACACAATTACAAACTTGAAACACAATGCCAATTTGGCGGGAAGTTCAAAACTTAATTTTTTGATCTTGTTTTTCTCAAGATTTACTCTAACGTTTGAAGTTAATCAGCGCGACAAAGGTAGGAATTTTTCCTTGTAAATTCAACATTTTAATGCAAATTTATTAAAATTTCAAATAAAAAATGCAAATTTATTGAAATTCCAGATAAAATAAAAAAAATTAGTTACGAATTTCTTCCTTCAAGTCCTTCAAGTTTTCGACGATGCGTTCGTAGATAGACAAGGCTTCACCCCTCAAACCGTCCAAAAGGTAGTCGTCTTGACGGTTCTTGGCACGTTGTAAGGCATCGATCAGCTTCTTCAGCACAACATGACCAATATAGACCTCGTTTTGTTGGGTGTAAATAGCCGATTCCAAGGCTCTCAAAGACTGAATGTAAAGACGAAGGCCAGTGCCTAACGGATGACTAGCATCAATGTTGTCCAAGGCGACGGCAGTGGCGTTCAAAACGGCAGTTGGGTTCAATTTCTTGTTCTTGGCGGCGATTTGATAGGCTTCCAGGACCATGTTGACAAAGATTGGACGGATTTGAGCTGGGGCAACCGGCTCGTTTCCAGCTCTCAGCGAGCCTACGATAAGGTCGACGCGGTGTTGGTATTGTCCGAGCTGGAATTTGAAAATGATTTTTAAAGTTTTTGAAATTATGCAAATAGCTGTACACAACCCTGTACATTAAAAAAAATTTTTAAAGTTTTGTATCGGATACTATACTTACCACGCTCATACTCTCCAGAAGCTTGAGACTGAAGTCGAGGAAGAACATTTCTTCTGATGTGGCTACAGCGGCCAATGCAGCATGCAGTCTGTTGTATTTTGCGATGGCAACTGCCAATGAAGCACCTGGTGCTGAAGCGTTCAAGGGAATGGCTTCGATAGCGTCATTTGTTTCCGACAACAATTTGCTAACACTGCTGTCGTAGATCTTGTATTTACCGCCTAGTTCAACAGCCTAAAACAATTTTTTAAATTGATTCAGAATTACTTCTAGTATTTATACTGTTCTTATCTAAAAATACAGTACTTCTACTTATATAGAGCTACAGTGTTTGTACTGTACTTATATAGACATATAGTACTTCTACAGTACTTGTGTCAAAATACAGTACCTCTGCTTTACCTATACATCATTCAGTGTTTCAACTATAGAAATACAGTACTTTTATAAAAATACAGTATCTTTGCTGTACCTGTATCAATATACAATACTTATACTGTACTTGTATAAGCATACAGTACATTTATTGTACTTTTATATATATACAGTACTTCTACCGTATCTCTATAAACCTGCTGTACTCCTACTGTACTTATATAAACGGTCAGTACCTTTACTGTACTCATATAGGCGTACAGCGCTTCTACCGTACCAGAATCTCTATAAATATACAGTCTGTACCTATATAAGCATGCAGTACTATAAGCTTAGCCTATACCTCTATAAACACACAGTATAACCAGCTTACATCAATTTTGTACTGCAACATCTTTGAGTGAATCGTAGAAGTGGCATCATCACTGGCGTTCACATTCGCTCCTCCAAGCAAGTACTTGAACACATTGATAAGCTCTTTATCTCTAGCGGCCACAACCCCAACCAAACACAAGGCTACCAACAACTTCATTGTGGGTCTATCTGATAACAATTTACATTGTAAAGCCTTTAAATAAGCCTTTTACACTGATTAGCATCTAAATTACAAACTGTTACGGTTCGAACGCAATTAAATTCAAGAGTTCATACCTAATAAAATAGAAATTTTAACGAGTTTTAATATTGTAAATTAATAACTTTGTGAACTCGTTTTTTCGATTTTAATTAACAACTTTGTGAACGCTTTTTCGATTTACATTATTGCGAATTTTGAGTGTTACATTTAGAATTAAATTTGATTGAGAAAAAACATTAAAAGATATATTTTTGTACTTTGAGCAAAAGATGTAAAACTGTAATTTTTAATTAAAAAAAATTTTTATTAGAAAGAAAAATCACTGGGAGACGACAAATAAAGTACCCATCTGCATCGCTCAGAATCTACCCATAATCTATTAAGTTGTTCAAATAATCCTGTGCTCCCTCTCACATCAAATTTTTTGACTTGTAAAGAACCCGGCCCACAGCAGCAGACTTTATTTGAAAACCAGCCTCCGGGCCCACATCTGCCAGCTTTGTCACCCTCTTTTAAGCTTCGAACCAACCCGGTCTTTTATATAAATTCATTTTTAAATTTAAAAATATTAAATTTAAAAATAAAAACAGAAACGACTTGTATCGTACTACTTTTGTGTCCTAAATAAAGGATAATTTTACAATTTTAACTTTTAAATAATTCAAAAATTTTTTAAGCAGCGTTAAAATCAGATTCTTTTTACACTTTTTAAAGGTCAAATCTTACACTACAGGACCTACGCTAGGCTCTTGTATCCTTGGTTTAGGCTTGGCACACGGGCATGCACGACACGTCCCCGCTTTTTTTAAATTTGTTTCAGCCCGGCCTGGTGGAGAGTCGAGCTTAATAACCCTTTTTTTAGGATGGATATAACATACATTTTACTAAAAAATGGGCACTTGATTCTGTATCTTGAAAGAGATTTGACTGAGCAATGAGATAATAAAAAAAAATTTTAAATATTGTTTTTTGTTGTTTTATAAATAAGCCTTACTTTAGAAGTTTGAAATCAATCTCCTTATACAGTGGAACTTCTGTAAAACAAACGTTTCTGTAGTGACATTTTTGTACAACGAGCAACCTTTAAATTCTTAGCAATTTTAAGTTTTTTAAACTTTAAATATTTATCACGCACGAAAAATTGTTGGTAATAACTCTAAGAATGATTTTAGTAAATTCAAAAAATGCTTTATTAATCAGTAAATCATATTAATAGACAAAAATTAGTGGCGAATTTGCTTCTTCAAATCCATCAAATTATCGACCAGACTTTCGAAAATGGCCAGGGCGGGTCCGGTAATGCCGTCCAAAATGCTGTCGTCTTGAAGATACTTGGCATAACGCAGGGTTTTCATCAATTTACCCAGCACTGGCGTACCAACGTATTCATCCAGGCTGTTACCAAAGTAAATTTTCATGAACAACGCCTGAAGCGATTCGACATAATGACGAAGGCCTGAGCTCAATGGGTGTTCAAGGTCGATTCGCTGACGCTGGCTGATGGTCTGGGCCAACTCGTGCACAGGAGTGATGTTTTTGCCAATAGAGACTTGGTAGGCTTCCAAAACCAAGTTGGCAGCGATGTTTCGCAAGACGGGCGCGGTGTAGTTCAAGCTGTATTTGAGCTGTTTGGCTTCGTCGTTTACTGCCAAGAGTAGTTTGACACCCATGTTGTTGGTGGGGTCCTAAAGTTTGGTTTAATCAGAAAAAAAATCAAAAAATATAAAGTCTGGCCTACAAAATATTGAGTCGTTCAAATAATTCTGTGCCCCCGCTTAAAGCAAATTTTGGGTGTAAACAACCTACATGAGCCATAGAAGCCAGCAAATCGTTATTGAAATCGACATGGATCATTTCCAGCTCGTGAGCGTGATCAGCGAGTGTGTTACGAAGGACGTGGAAGGCAACAACAGCCTTGTTGTATTCGCTTCCAAACAATACCTTTGCTTTAGAGGCGGCAATAATCAATTCGGTGGTTTTACTCAAAAGCTCATCTATATGATCGTATATTCCGTATTTGTTGGCCAAGTCGATCGATTCCTTCTTGTAGGCCAAGAGTCTTCGGTGAGCTTCGGCTTGGTCGATTTTGATGTTATTAGCGCCAAGGAATTTGATGTATGAGTCTCTGAGGTCTTCGTCTACACCGGCTTGTACGGCCTAAATGAAGGGTAGGTTAGAGTAGTTAAAAATGAATATTGAACAAGAGGGATCGGGGATTTTTTATGTCATATATTATAGTAGAAGGCCTGTCATTTTCTAATGTTATACACGACAAAACAGAGACATTTTCTAGCGTTATATATAACAGAAGACAGTGAGTTTTTAACGTTATATACAATAGAAGAAATGGCATTTTGAGCGTTATATATAACAGAAAACGCACATTTTTCAACGTTAAACTTTACAGTAGAAAAACGATAATTTCCAACCCTAAACAAATTAAAAAACCTACATTAAGAGCCACCAAACTCAACAACACCACGGCGAACAACTTCATGGTTGATCGAATATGCTGCCAGCACTGTAGCGACCATTTTAAATACTTTTTGTGATCACATTAACATGCTTATTAATATTTTCAGAGCTAAAAACCAAACGGTACAAATTACAAATTGTAAACTCATCAAGGTTTTATTGCTGTGAAAAATTTCATTTTAAAATTTGGTAAATTAAGTTTTTTTAATATTGAAGATTTGGTACTTTGTTAAATTAATTTTATTGCTAATTTACTTTTACACTTTGAGTGTGCATTTAATTTTTGCAATTTAAAGTGTGCGTATAAGTATGTGTGTGTGTGTTTTCTTGTATGGGAATGTGCGTATGAGTTTTTTTTGTATTTGCATTTCTATGTGAGTACGGTATGTGTGTGTTTTTTGTATTTAGATGTGCATGTATATGTTGAGTGTTTTGTATGAGAGTGTGCGTATGAATTTGTTTTTGTATTTATATCTGTATATGTGAGTATATGTATGTGCACGTTCTTTTTGTATGTAAATGCCCGAGTATAAGTATACGCATGGTTGTTTGTTTTTTGTATGAGTTTGTGTGAATATGTCTATGTGAGTATAAGCATGTGCGTGTTTTTTGAATGTCTGTGTGAGTATAGGTGTGTGTGTGTGTTTTGTTTTGTATCTGTATACGTAAGTATGCTTTTTGTATGCGTATGTATGTGGCTGAGTATGCGTACGTAAGGGTTTTTTATAAGTGTACGTGCGTGTAAGAATATAAGCGTTTGTTTGTGAGTATGTGTATGTCTGTTTTAATGATACTCTTTAATATGACTTTCGATACTATGACACCGTCTGTACAATGAAAGCTTTTTGACCTCCTTTTGTAATAGGGCTTTCATCAAAAATTACCCGTATAGTGTGACATTTTGATTAAAATGGTGCTTTAGTCTGGTCTTTTGAATGTCACGCTAAAGAGGGTTGACTGTAATACAACAAGCAGATATCGCACAGTTTCAAAATTTCAAAAACTTAAACTACAGTATGTGTGTGTGTCAGTGTTTTTTTATGTTTGTGGGTGTGTGTTTTGTACGTTTGTATGTGTGTGTGTATAACAAGCGACTTTACAGCAGTAAAAATACTATACTATAAAAAATGTTCCTACCGTAAAACAAATATTGCAAATTCTAATTAAACGTTCTCCACCTAAATATTAGACTTTAATAAAGCTGTAATTAAAATTTTATTTGATTTGAAACGCTTTCACAAGCGTCAACTCTAATTATTTTTCAAAAATTTTAATGAACAGTGTTCGAAATTAAACCCTCCGGCTTTATTAACAATTTAACTGCACTGTGAACGGCATCCAGCTTATAAAAGTCGTATAAAAGTGATGGAAAGCAATTGAACATTACAGTCACTCACCATGAAGTGGGTTGTGTTGTGTTTGTTGGTCGCGGTCGTGCACGCTGACGATGACAAAGACGTACGTGATGTTGTCTACAAGCTGTTGGCTGACATTAACATCAACGTTTCCTACGCCAAGGTTCATGAAGACTTTTTGGGATTTGAAAAGAAGGTAAGCTAGTATTAACTTGTGTAAAAATGATTGAGAGCTATGCCTTATTTCTTTTATTGAACTGTATAAAAATGATTAAACTATGCCTCATATCTTTTATTAAGTTGTACAAAAAAGATTGAGATATGCCTCGCTTCTTTTATTAAATTGTATAAAAAAGATTGAGCTACGTCTCATACCTTCTATTGAGTTGTCTAAAAAAGATTGAGCTATGTCTTATATCTTATTTTAAATTGTATAAAAATGATTGAGCTATGCCTCATATCCTCACTAAATATTCATACTAGGACTCGTTCTTAAAGCTCTTTATTATCACGGGTCTTTTATGACAATCAAAACTAATCTACTGTCGATCGTGATTCGTTCCTTCTTTATATAGTGTTCTGCTGGGCGGGCCCTACTCCTGCCGGGCCTTTGAAGTCGTAGAGGCATCGTTCTGGCTTGTTGTTGCGACGGCCAAGTTTATGATTCCATGTTGGTTGATGGGTTTACTTGGCTTGTGGTACTTGCGGCACATGTAACCCGGGACCAGCAAACGTGGGTGGTATGTTCCAAGTTGAACAATCTCTCCAGTTGTAGGGTAGCTGATTAGAGCGTCGATGCGATCTCCTGTTCGCGGGATGAAACGATTTCTTGGTAGCTGATCGTACATCATGATCTGGCCTGATTTTAATTAAATTGTAGGTCTAAGTCCTGGTAGGTCTTCAGGGGTCTCTTGTCGAGGTGGGTACGCCATGTTTTCGACGATAAGCTTTTCAACTTTTGTCTCTGGTCTTTGAATTACCACGTACTCAATTGCTACCGCCGTAGGCAGCAAGATTCTGTTTCTTGTTTGAAGTACTTCGATCGGTCTTTTGTTCTCCGCTTCGTCGTATGGTCTTTTGGGTGGTCGAACCGCCTCCGGTGCTACTGATAACACCTTTATCGTGGTGCCGATCGGTAGCTTAAGGTGGCCTATGCTACCAGAGTGTCCCAGTTGAACAGTTTGTGGTATACTCCCGTAGTGGTCTTCGGTCGTTTTTAAAGCTCTTTATTATCACGGGTCTTTTATGACAATCAAAACTAATCTACTATCGATCGTGATTCCTCTATTAAATTGTATAAAAAAGATTGAGCTATGATCATCGAAAATATAAGCTAATAATTTCAGGCTGTCGACCTAGTTGCCGGCGACGAAGCATTATACAACAAGATTGCACCGGTTCTCGCAAACATTAAACAAGGCTACATCTCTCTGAAAGGCGAACACAACCAGTATGGCGAAAAGTTGCACCGCGTGCAACAACGTCTTCAAGGCTTGAGAGACATCTTGGCAACCAAAGTCAAAGATGCAAACCAGCTTTCTTTGTTCGACGAAAGCGTTGAGATGATCCGGGGAATGTTGTTGGTAAGATATTACTGCTAGCTAAGGTCGATTAGTATTAGAGTGTACAAGAAATAATGAGCTATTAAAAAAATAGTAATAAGGTGTTCAAAAAGTAATGAGCTACTAAAAATTTAGTATTATTTAAAGTGTTCAAAAAATAATGAGCTACGGAAAAACTGGTAATATGATGTTCAAAAAGTAACGAGCTAGCAGAAAGTTAGTGTTTGAGTGTTCAAAAAGCAATGAGCTACTATAAAGCATTACAATGTTCAAAAAGTAATGAGCTACTAAAAAGGTAGTAAGAAAGTGTTTAAAAAGTAATGAGCTACTACAAAGTAAGTAAGAAAGTGTTTAAAAAGTAATGAGCTACTACAAAATAAGTAAGAAAGTGTTTAAAAAGTAATGAGCTACTATAAAGTAAGTAAGAAAGTGTTCAAAAAGTGATGAGCTACTATAAAGTAAGTAAGGAAGTATTTAAAAAGTAATGAGCTACTATAAAGTAAGTATTTAAGTGTTCAAAAAGTAGTGAGCTATTAAAAAGTACTTGCTTGTTCAAAATGTAATAAGCTATCAAAAACTTTAGTATTAGAGCGTACAAAAGAAAATGAGCTACCCAAGTTGTTCAAAAAGTAATAAGTGAAAATTCACTGTGAGACATAGCTCATTACTTTTTGAACAACATAATACTTCTCTCTATCTTTGAAAAGTTCACCACGCTAAAACGATCCTTCCTCTTCACCTTTTCAATAAAATACGAATCTGTTTTAGATTCCATCAAGCGAAGACGTTGTAAACAAACTTTTACAAATAATTAAAGATGCCAGAATAGATTATGAACCTCTTCCACCAACTGAGGTTGAAGTTCGTCACGCTTTGGTCCTTATCGCATTCGAAGCCTTCCAACGCTCCAAACAAAATCCGGTTGAACTTTTTAGAAAAATTAACGACGCTGATTACCCGGCCATTGATATCGAACATTCATTAAGCACTCCACTTCGTCACCTCATCGAAGACTACGAGGCCGTGTACGCACAGTACAAAGAACAGAAGAAGGATGACATCTTAGCCGCATTGATTATTAATCTAAAGCATCAGAAACAACGACAACCCATTCATTTGTTGGACGGTTTGCCAGACACTCCAGCTAAAGAGATTTACGAAAGCATCGTCGACGATTTGATGGATTTGAAGCCACTTCTTAAGAAGTAAAGTAATGAATGCTTGATCATTTTGAATTTTCATTGAATAAACATTTGAATGGACATTGCTTGTTTTTTCAACTGGTAAAATATGCAAGTATAAAAATAATCAATACAATTTTTTTTTTAATTTAAAAGGTAAAACTATAATAATTGGATAGCAGGAAACAAGAGTAGTGCCTAGATAAAGTTAAAGAAAACCTATAACAGAGCAACAAAGGCAGACTAAGACTATAGCAAGACTATTTTTTCTTAAAGTTAGAGAAATATTGAACAAAAAATAATTTAAAAAACTAAATTTGTTACCTAAAAAGTAATTTTAAGATGAATTCAAGCTTAAAATCATAATGCTAAAGCAAAATTTAAAGTTCTAGAGTTTTACAGTATAAAACTACAAAGATTACTATTTAACCATAGTACAATATAATAATTCGCCCGTGCACAAGTTGAAAAGATAAATAATAAAACAATACTCAATACTCATATATAACACATTATTAGACAATTCGTATTTTTTATTTTTTTACGGTATTCAACACTAATATATAGCCTATAATAATATAATATTAGACAATTCGCACAAGTTGAATATATTCGCTCGTACATAAGTTAAAAATATTAATAATAAAACAAATAATACTTATACACTATAACCTATTATCCGGCAATTCGCTCGTACATAAGTTGAAAATATAAATAATAAAACAAAATACATATATATAACATAAATAGTATTAAACAATTCGCTCGTACACAAGTTGAAAAACTAAGCAAAAACAAAACTCTATACCTAGCGTTAAAAAAGGCACCAGACCAACGCGGGCCCTACGGGCCCGCCATGGTCTGTGCATTTTCGTTGTATTTTAATTTATATAAAATATTTTTGAATTCTTATAAAATAAAAGTAATACTTGAATTTATTTTTAAAAATGGCGCAGGGGTCCGTAAAAATTCTGCGCCATTTCAGCAAAATTTAAAAAAAATGGAGCAGGAAAAAAAGAAAAACCCTGCTCCATTTCAGCAAAGGTTAAAAAATGGAGCAGGAAAAAAGAAAAATCCTGCTCCATTTCAGCAAAAGTTAAAAAAATGGAGCAGAAAAAAAAGAAAAATCCTGCTCCATTTTATTTTTTTATGAAAAAATGACGCAGGGTCCATAAAAATCCTGTGCCATTTCAGAAAAAGTTAAAATGGAGCAGAACAAAAAGAAAATCCTACTCCATTTTATAATAAAAATGGCACAGGATTAGCAAAAAACCTCAAGAAAAGTAATGTTTGAATTAAAATTTGAAAATGAGCGGTCAGGTACATATTTAAAATAACGTTTTAAAAAATAACAAATAAAATAGCCATCACATATTTATTCTAAACATTTAACATTTGCCACAGAGATAAAAGTAGAATTCCGCTTTTACTTGAATGGAGAAGCTTCTGTTGCTGCGTCTGATTAGGTTGGCCATAGTATAAGAAGGCTATTGAGAAGATTTTTCGTTTGAACTGAGCATCGATATGTTAGATTCATCCTATCATGATAAGAATGTAGATGCATTTGAATTAACTTCACCATGGTATCACACGATTATTGAAAAGGCTGTGAAAACGTTTGTTAATTTCCTGTCTGTCACCTTTCCAGTAGTTGATATGATTGTTCCCAGACTTCCAGCGTTAGGACGTTTTCGAAGAAAAAACACTGAGACACGTTGGCTCTTGATTTGACTCTTTGACATAAGCGTGACAGTGTAGATGTACACAGACGTTTTGTTGATGTAGACGTAGCAATACGTGAAGATTTATTGATGTGGCTTGAAGCTATGCAGATGTAGGCAGATCTGTTGACTTGTGGCTTTGGTGACATTGGCAGACTTGGCACCTAAAATATAATATTATGATAAAAATAGGAAAACTTACTTTTTGGAGAGGACGGCCGGCCGGTGAACTGCCCGTAAAGGGCAGGTGACACCGCAGGGTCTTGGTCTACATTCTAATAATATAAAATTCTGTTTTACCTGTTAAAAAATAAGTTTTTACAAAAGATTATAATATAATTTTTACCTTACTTTAAAAAATTACTGTTTTTACAAAATTAAAAAAAGCGGTCGTTTACATAAAAAACTATATACTAAAGATACAAAATAACCTAAATAAATTGCATATGTTTAATGTAAATTTAAGATATCTTTGAAGACTACATTTGTAACCTCTGAATTTGAATCGTCTTCTAACCTTATCTTCAAACAGTTCCAATTTTGTACACGAGATAGCGCGACGTACAATTGACCATGTGTAAACACTTGATGCTTGTTTAATTTAATCCCGATCTTTTCAAAAGTTTGACCTTGCGCTTTGTTGATTGTCATAGCGAATGCCAAGCGTACTGGAAACTGGTTACGGTAAAATGGAACCGGTAAATTTTTCGTGTTTTCGAGCACTATGCGCGGTATAAAAACGTCTCTTCCAACATTTTCGCCTGTTAATATTTTACATTTTAACACGTTTTGTCTCATATCTACTATTCTTAATCGAGTTCCGTTACAAAGCCCTTCTTTAATGTCGAAGTTTCTCACCATTATAATAACTGCATTGTTCTTTAGTTTAAGCTCTGATTTTGGGAAGTTGGAGTCTCCTAATGTATTCAAATATTCTAACATGTATCGGTATCTTTCGTTTTCAGTTTCTTTTATTTCGTCTTGACTATAATATATTTTTTCGTCACCTTCGACTATTTCCAATGCATTTTCATTCAATTCGTCAACTTCGACATTTAAAGGCGCCAAAATTGATTTGCGAGTTAGTTGGCCAATATTTGATCCTGTTATTTTTATACCAAAGATTTCACGAACTAAATCTGTTTTAATAACACATTTTTCAGGTAAACTTATTTTCTCGTCAATAGTGTTTCGTTTTCCTTCTCCAATTTCTAAAATATCAGAAGCAAATTTCAAATTTTCAACTCCAGCACGCATATTTTTTGTCAACTTTATAATAGAAAACTTTGGCCACAAATCACTTCCTTTTACACTCAATCTTACTGTTTGTTGTGGCGTAGCGTTTTCTTTTATCGGCAATATTTGTCTGAAATCGCCTCCGAGTAACATAATTTTTCCACCAAAAATTTCATGAGACCAGGTAAAATCTTTCATTGATCTGTCAATAGCTTCTAACATGTATTTACTAACCATTGAAGCTTCATCGATAATGAAGACATCTGTTTTGCGTAAAATTTCGGCTTGTTTTGTAGTTTTACTCCAATTTGAAGAACTGTGTGAGTCAAGTTCTAACGGGAACTTAAATGTGCTATGGATAGTATTTCCATTTGGTAACAAAGTAGCTGCGATTCCAGTAAAGGCCATACAAATTACGTTTTTTCCTATTCCTTTTATTATGTTGTACAATGTTTTATAGACAAAAGTCTTTCCTGTTCCACCTGGACCATCCAAAAATAAACATTTTTGATCTTTTTGAGGATTATTTAACATTTATAATACTTTGAAAACGACATTTTTTTGGTCGGAATTGCATGTTTCTAACATTTTTTCTCCTTCATTTTTGAATGAATTCAAAGATTCATTTTGATTTTCGATTTCCTCCAATGCATTTTCATAATTTTGAAGCTGCTCATCAGTAAAAGCGGTTGACGACAGCATTTGAAAATCAATGAAAGTTTTGCCATTTCTGTTTAATATCTTTTCGATTAAATTGTATGCTATGTCATATCCATTGTCTCCAAATTTTCGTACACAATCTTCTGATAGTTCGTTTTTGAATAATTTGTATAATTCTTAGGGTTTTGCTGGTGAACAATGAATAAACAACATAGCAAAAAGAAACCTTAACTGCCGTGGCATTTTGAAGAACTTTCATCGCGTTAATGTAGTCTTCGTCGTCTTTGATAAAACCGCGTTCTAAACATGCTTGTTTGTACGTAGAACATACATTTCCATTAACGTTTTTTAGTGCTTCAAAAGACTCAGGACCTCGAACTCGCAACAGCAGTAATCTCAAATGAAAAGCTTCTGAATTTTTAGGGCTAACATTGTAAATGCGGCCGACTGTATTGAAATGAGCTTTACGTTTTGTCCATTTCATTTCCTTTCTATTCCAAGTATACTTTTGAGGTACTTCATGGTAAAGTAAATTTGTCTTTTCGCGCCGGTTTAGCTCAAAAAATGCCATCAACTTTGATTTTTTTGTTCTTTTTAATTCATCGATTCTTTCAAGACTATCTGTTTTTTTGAAAAATATTGCTTGTTTCCCTTCATCGTGTATTTCTAATCTTTCAATAGCGTGGCTTTTCACTATAATTTCGTGTCCTAATATTCGCCAAGCAGCTTCAAGAGCACTTAAATACCGACATTCAATATATCTTTTAATTTCATCGTAAATCAATTCATTTTGTCTACCGTCATTTGAAACTCTTTCGACTAAAGCCTGGTCAACACCTTTGAAGACATATTTATGCAAATATTTGACAACTTCAATGTCAGCAACATGTTCAACATTTATGTGGCAATTAAACTTTTTTGACAGGTGCGGAGAATACGAAACTACGTGTCTATTGTCCAAGATTTGACCATCCTGAGCTTTAAAAAAAAACACCATTGTGTCTACGTCTGTAGTTTGCGTAGCCTCCTGTTTTTAATTCAGTTTTAGCAATAAAAGATTTTGGGAATTTTTTTGCGCATTTTTCTGAATTTTCGATACAGGGAAACGTTTTCCAAACAGCTCCAGTTTTTCTGTTTAATTTTTTACATTGGTGCATGTTATTTTTAGTTATAATGCGGTGTAACTCTGGCTCTGTATCTTTATCTGGAATTTCAGCCCAAGTGTAAAAAGGAGTATGTGGTAAACCGCGTTTTTGAAACTCAATTGAACCTGTATACGCTACAATTTTGCCGAAAAGTTCACTTTTATTCACAAAGTCAATCATTTCTTTATATTTTATACGGAACACTCGAGCTACTAAATCAGGTCTGTCAGCGGAAGTTTGGCCAGGAAATAAATTATTTTTAATTT